AAAAAAAAAAAAAAAAAACAATCGAGTCTTAAGTAAACTATAAATCCTCTCCACATCGCCAACTTTTGTCGTTCGAAATTTAAACTTGGCCCGATTGATATAAGGCAACATTTTATCCTTAAGATTGTCCGTTTCAATAATATTTATTTCCGTAGCACGTAACAACATGGGCGTATATCAATAATTATTTATTTTATTATTTTTATCAATCCAAACTTAATTATTTTTATTACTCCAAATTAAAATCCCGCGGTTAATTATGCCACAGTAGAACTGAACTTTCAAATACATTTTTGGGCTTTTTACTTGTCAGCCGAAATTTTCATTTTAACGTGGGCCAAAACCCAAAAGGAAGTTCACAGATCTAAAAAAAACAAAGCCCACTAACAACCCGCTGAACGTAAAACGGCGTCGTAATTAAGCAGGTTGAAGCCTCGAAAAGCCCTAAAATTTTCTAAAACCCTGATAGCTTTTAAAAACCTTCGTCTCCAAATCGACACCGTCAATCTATCTCTCACTCTGTTACTGCTAAAAATGGCGTCTGTGGCGGTCAGAAATTCTAAGGCGAGGCGAGTCTTCACGCTGTCGGCGAGAATTCGCTCGCCATGCTGCCGGGGACCCGCCGTCTCCGCCGTTGAATCGCCGATCGATTCGGTTCAGGCTCCGAACCCTTGGTGGAGATCCATGGCTACGTTCACTCGCACGTAAGGCGCATATCTCGAACATGTTTTTTGTTTAGCTCTTTCGATTGGTTTCATGTCAAGTGCTACGAAGTTTTAAATGTCATTTCTAAGTCCTGATTTTTTTTTATTTTTTTTTTTCCGTGTTTTGATTATATCGAAGAAAACGTTTTAGTGTGTGCAATTTTCGCATTTCATACTGTGCATTTTTTCCTACGATTTGAAAGAAATTGAATGTTTGATTTTGGACGTGTAATCTGTTTTAGGTTAGAAGAAAGTTAGGAAAAACTGATTCCCAAACATAAATATCATCTGGAATTTTTTTTTTTCTATGATGTCTTGCTTGACTGCAGAAAACCTCATGTGAATGTGGGAACAATTGGACATGTTGATCATGGAAAGACCACCCTAACTGCAGCAATCACCAAGGTACTGAAATGTACATTTATTAATCGTAATATACTATTGTTCTTATTAGTTTTATTTTTTCAAATTTTACTTATATTATATCATATCTGTATCTTTTCTTGTTTGGCCATTGAAATTCATTTTCCATGTTTCTATGAAGGTCTTAGCAGAAGAAGGTAAGGCAAAAGCTGTTGCCTTTGATGAAATTGATAAAGCACCCGAGGAGAAAAAGAGAGGGATTACAATTGCCACAGTAGGAGTCGTCTTTATTGTTTCTTCTCTATTATTGCTCTACGACCTGACAAATGTACTTCTGCTTTGAGTAATGTTTTTCAATTCATAATCCCGGTTTTTGTTGATTTCGCAGGCACATGTAGAATATGAAACTGCAAAGAGGCATTATGCACACGTAGATTGCCCTGGGCACGCTGATTATGTTAAAGTGAGACCGGAAAAGACTTATGTTTATGCGCATTTCTGTTTATATGCATTTCTGTTTTGCTTTATTTTGTATGATAGCTCCTCGTTCGTTGTATGGTCCTCACTCCTCAAGGTGATTAGTTAAATTTATTCAAGGGAAGTGCTAGGTTATTTGTTAGTCTTCAATACATTTCTGGAAGTAAAATCAGTTTTGGTGATCACATTGTCTATGGAATTTCATTTTGTTTTATTTTTCGTTTCCTTCTCAACCCACGCTCCACAGGTGAAAAAAATAATCCAATTTAGAATTTCGATGAAACTTTTGTGACATGTCGCCTATGGCACTTCCTGTCAGACAGACTAAGCCGCAGTCTGTTGCTTGTTCAACTTAGCCTCGTGTTGTTTTTTTAACATGGCTTAATGAAATGTTATATACCAAACATGTTGATCATGTTACACATGAATACTCAAATAATTTAATTTTCCTCTGGTTTTAAATCTTTAATGCAGAACATGATTACTGGAGCTGCTCAAATGGATGGGGGTATTCTTGTAGTATCTGCCCCAGATGGGCCAATGCCTCAAACTAAGGAACACATTCTACTTGCTCGCCAGGTTCTCAATTTAATATGAATTGACTTACAGAATCCAGTTGCATAAGTTATAACTTAGAAGATTTGCTTCTCCATTTTGGTATTGCATTATCAACCATTCACTATTGTTGCAGGTGGGTGTCCCTTCACTGGTGTGTTTTCTTAATAAAGTTGATGCTGTTGATGACCCAGAGCTGCTGGAACTTGTTGAAATGGAGCTGCGTGGTAAACTAAATTTGGAAGTTGGTTTGGACTTCTTGATGTTGTTCTTTCTGATGGACCCATTTTACACCACTTCATTGTACTTGCAGAATTGCTTAGCTTTTATAAGTTCCCTGGAGATGACATTCCCATTGTCAGAGGATCAGCTTTGTCTGCTTTGGAGGGTTCAAACGAAGAAATTGGAAAGAAAGCTATTTTGAAGCTAATGGAAGCTGTAGATTCTTACATTCCGGATCCCGTGCGTCAACTTGATAAACCTTTTTTGATGCCAGTTGAAGACGTTTTCACCATTCAGGTAACTAGACTTGGTTTACAGTTTATAAATTCCCCCTCCCCTACCCCCACCCCCTGGTAAATTTTAGTTGTCTTTCTTTATTTTTTCATTATGCTACCTGGTTTGTGATTTTTTTTTTATTTTTTTATTT